ATACATCAAAGTATTTGCCATTGCAATTAACTCCACTGTCAACACTTTCCCCAAATCCCACTGATTTACATATCTAAATATGAACCGACAAATGAGTGTTGAAGACTTAACATGTTTAGACAGCATAACTAACATTAGTGCTGAAGTACAGTCCTTTGTTAAGAAGTGATAAAATACAGACAATTATTACACATACACAGTGTAAGGATATTGCCCTTTCATGTTCAAACTTTTGCTCAATAAAGCATATTTATGCATACATGTCTCATTTCAGTTCAGTCCTTGATATCGGAGTGCAGTACTACAGTATATTCTAACTTTGGCATGTTTAAAGCTGGTCTTTTTATCTCAAGGCCCTTTTCTTGCCAAACCTTTCTCACTGAGGCAGTGGTAAATTTAACTGTTTACTTAATCTTTGTTAGTAGGATACTGTTCATTAAGAACCTTTCCTTTGGGGAGGAACCTTTTAAAAGTCTATCCATTCTGGACCCTTTTTTACTTGACAATGGTCCACAACGGACTGAAACGTCATCATATGGTTCCTTCCCGAGTGCAGGTCTTTCGTGAATTATTCCAACACGATATTGTGGCTTTTTATTTTTCAAGCAGTACTGTACTTACACCAACAAACACAATCCAGATTGCTTTACAGCACTGCAAAGTGTTTGAAAAGCTGGAAACAAGTTTTTCATAAGGTACAGCATTGTAAATGTTGTACATTTTTTTTTTTTTTAAGATGTCAGCTGCTTCATTTTTATGGGGCATACATGTAATATAACAAATTTTAGGTGAAATCAACTTAAAAGAAAAAGAAAACAAATGCCATATGTGCAAAAAGCAAGCTACTAATATTTTTCAGAGGAAAACAAAAACAAAAAGATTTCCCCAATTTCTGGGTCTTAGGTAAACCATAAAAAAATTTTATTGAAAGACCCTTGCACAAAAAAGCAAACATTCTCAGGTATACCTGAAAAAATGGCATAAACCCCAAAAATTAAGGAAAAATCCATATTACAATACTTAAATCCATGTAGAAATGAACTTATGTGGGGGAAATGTGTGATTTAAAGTTGAGGAAAGGTTAAGATGTGTATATGACCAATGAGGTGAATAATAATGAAACTAAACACTATACCCGATCCAGGAAGATGAAACTTTGGGAAGATGCCCTAATTTACAAAAATTTGTTGTAGTAAAAAAAAATATGTGGGACAACTGGTTAACGTAACTAAAGTTGACTAAACCCTTGCCTATAGCTGTACACATTTGTATTACCTACTGTATGTATTACATTCCTCAAGTTCGTAAATGATATTGGGCTTGGCATTAAGTATGAATGATTTCTGGGTGCTGATTTTTTTTCATTGAAGGTACTGGAATGATTTTATCAAGACTGATTCAGCATATCTTGAACATTAATTTGTTTTTGAAAAGTACGTGCTGGTTTGTAGTACATAAATAAAAATATTATTAGATGAATGTATGTAGATTTTGTGTGTATTTATATATATAAAAAAAATATAATTAAATAATAAATATATATAAATATATATATAATATAAAATTTTTTATATATAATAAAATATTAATATTTTTAAAAATTTTAATTTATATAAATTTATAAAAAAAATGGGTATTGTAAATTTGGGACCCATACCCCGAAAGTATAAAAATTTAAAAGTTTTTTGGATTTCTTCCGGTTTGAAAAAATTTACTTTAAAAAATTTTAAATATTTTATTTTAAAAAAATATTTTATAATAATATCACAAAATTAAAATAATTTTTTTATAAAGGTGGCTAATACGGAAAGTGTTACGTGTGTAAAAGATTTAGGCAAAATTATCCAGGGCCCTCGACTGGGGCCTTTAAAAGGCCTTTTTTACCCTTTAACCCCCAGGGCCCGCTAAAAAAACTGCTCCCTGGGATTTTTACCCATGATTTTTTTTAGCCCTAAGGAAAAGTGCACTTTTTTTTTTTCCATGGGGCCAAGGTTTTGGTAGGGGGAACAAACTATAATGTGGCCAAGTTTTTTAAATTTTTTCTAACTTTTGGCTTAAATCATGCCCCTCCTTCCCCCTTTTATTGGAATAGGTATCACCAGTTAGATCACAGGAAACCCCCCAAACCACCTGTTCCCTTGCCAGGCTTGAAGGGGTATACCATCGGGATTCGGTGATCAGTTTTATAATGAAGAGAATTGTTGTGTATTTTTAAAAATAAAATTTATATATTAATATATTATAATATATATAATTTTAAATTTATAATATAATATTTTTAAAATAATATAACAAACAGGGGCCCCCCGGTTAACGATATTTTTACACTCCAGAAGTATGTTCAGGTGCCAGTACTGACCGAATTTGTTCCCATAAGAAATATTGTGAAGTAGATTAGTCCATTCAGACCCCCAAACATACACGTACAAACGCACTTACATAAATACACTTACATAACGGGTCGCATTGGGAGGTGATCGTTAAGCGGGGGTGCACTGTGTGTGTGTTATATATATATATATATAAATATATATATTATATATATATATATATATAATATATATATATTATAATATATAAATAATATATATATAATATATATATTTATATTTTATATACACACACACACACACACACTGTATATATAATTTTTTTATTACAATTCGTGAGAGCTTTAATTTACGCTGGTATGTGATGAACCTATATTTAATCTGTGTACTTAATACATTATGCATGTAGGACTATTTCAGAATTTTTTTTATACCCATGAGAAAAGGATCTCGACTTTTTGGGGATACTTTAAAAGTCTACTTTACCAGCATGTTTTAAGCATATAGGAATGATTTAAAAGGGGTTTCTATGCTCTGATAAATTTAGAATATAAATTTAAATTTACTCTTTGGAAAGTTATGATGTGTATTTGTAGACCAACTATTGTATGATACCAAGTTGCTAAGTTATGGTTTGTGTGTCTTTGTTACTCATTATTGTGATATTGCTAGTTGCTTATTGTGTTTTGTTTGGGTACCGATTACAGTAATCATATATACTGTGGTGGTTCCTATCACTGTTTCTACAATTGCACTACAGTTTTTTAAAGCTGTTAGATATTCTGTTTGTGGCCTAACTCTGCAACTTCATGTTATGCTTCCCTTTCTCATATATGGATAACTTCAGTTTGATGAACTCTCTACTACAGATAGAGTAATTTACTTTACTGCAGGTAAAGTACAATAGTAACCACCATTACATTATGGAGTGATGTTTTCCCTAAGGTTTCAGTTTGATACTGTGTGGAAGTGCGAGAGAATCAGCGTATTCTGCCATTTCATGAAGTCATGCGTGTTCAAAGTGTCGAGTGTGCTCAGGTGCTCATAAGTACAAAAGTGCAGTGATGCTATCTTGATGTGGTAGTGCTAATTTGTCCACAATCTCTTATGTTATATTGGCTCAGTGTGTCCATAAATAAAACTTGGTTAATAACTACAGAGAGCATACTTTAATATTCTTACAGTACATTAAGGATGCACTTCATACACAATGTTTTACTTTTAAAATTAAAAACTAGGACGGGTTTTGGTCGGGGACATGGCATAACTTAATTTTAAAATGTTAAAAAAAAAAATCCTGTATGTAACACGCATCCTTAAATGTAAATAAAATTTAATAATAAATAATCGTCAATTTAAGGGGTAAACCCATCAGGGTCATAAAGCCCTTAAATATGATATGTATCCCTCTCTAGTAACTTTAATTCAAATTTTGCATGTTGGACATTAAGAAACCAATATTACCTATTTGAAATAGGATAGCTAATACTGTGCTATATTGTGCCCTGTCCTTTGCAACTATTGCTGGCACGGGCTTTTAAAGCTCCCTGTGCAACTGTTGATACCATCATGTGCTGTAGTGTAATACAGTGGTGCATGGTGCAGTGCAGCGTGCTGTGCTTTCCACTTTTTTGTGCATAGGCAGCAAGCTAAATCTCTTGGTGCTTCATGTTTATGTGCTTTTTCACACAATTTCTACTGTGCAATGTGCTGTAGTGCTGCACACGTATACTGCTTTCGCTCCCACTTAGTGCTGCACACTTGTACAGCTAATACTGTGCACTGGCTGTACTGCAAGCTTTTGTATAGGGTGCCTTGTGCTGCAGAATTATGATACTATGGCTGCAAGTGCTGCACATGTACTACTGTGCTTTGTCCCAACAGTGCCCTCAGGCTTTTCGTTTTACTGTGCAGTACGTTATTGCTAAATTCTGGAGCTACATAGTGCTTTGTGCTAGGCTGTGATCCAGCAAGTTTTAGTTCTGTGAAAAAAGTGGCTGCTATTTTGATGGTGCACTAAAATAAATTTTGTTTGAAAATCTTAGTTGGATTTAGTGCTGTGACAAGAGTGCTGGTCAGTGCCAAATTGTGCTTCTGAGGGGCTGTGCTTTGATAACTAGTACTATCCTGCGAGCCCCGCAGTGCAAAACAGTACAATTACTGTGCTTGATAACTGTGCAGTATGATATGGTATTTCACGTGTTCTGTAGTGCCCTTTCAACACTTATGGTTTCAGCATAAACAGCTGTAATCAAATGACGAATGACATTTGCAAAGACGAACTTCATGAGACTTGTCCTGTGGACAGACTGAAGAAGTCTATCCACAAGCAAAAATCTACATCAAGGTCCTTTCTGCAACTGTCTTTTTCTTTCATGTAGCTTAACATCATTTATCTCCAGCTGTGATACAAAATACTGTTCAACGGTGACGTGTATTGTACAGTACGCGCGTTGAGAATAAATAAAAAAATATATATATATATATATATATATATAATATATATATATATATATATTAATATATATATATTATATAATATATATATATGAGGTAATCAATGTAATGCCATAGGCAGTATACTGCTAAGTAATTCGTCATACATGATCTTTAAAACCTGGGATAGATTATTCAGTACATATATTCATATAAAAAACTGTGGTTCAGTACCAGCTAACCCAACCAATGCACATTTATGTTTTAGATGTATAAATTATTGCAAATATGTAAATACTTAAAATGTTTGCAGAACCTAAATGGAAACTGTTGGAGACAATAAATATTTTCCCAGCACCATTATATGTTGGACATTTCTGGGTCCTTCAGTCTCCTTATCATTACATTGCTGTAAATGGCCCTCATAACACTGTTCATTTTCTAACGCATATCATTAGTGTACTGTATTTCTGAACGTGCTACACTGCTATAAACTACTAAACTCATCATGATGAGATCTGTTACTCCCCTCGTGGGTTAATGTATTTTAATCTTACATTAATTAAACTAGATTTACTAAATTCGACCACAATGGATGTCATAATTAATTACTTAAAATGGGACTACATTACAATATGGTAAGGACTGCAGGGTAAACATGATAGAGTCTTGGCCTAATTTGTTGGAAAACAAAACATGTTATGCAAAATGACGAGGATTTGGGCCCCAAATACAATCTTTGTTCAAAGCACCCTTACAAATACGTAGTGGCTATGTATACAGCTCATCTGGTGCTTTTACGGTACAGTAAATATTTAGTTAAAATGCATACAGCTCATGCTTATTTTACGTTTTTTATATTAACTATTAGGCCAGCCTTAGGAGGTCAGGTGGAGACAATGACTTTGAAGGTTCTCACATTTTGGTCAGAGTAAATACTGTATTTGTATATTAATTTATTAAATATCCTAATTTTATAATTTTAAAAGTAGGCCTAAAACAGAAGACCTGGCCAGGACTGTAGTGGGTGGCAACCTTTGGAAATAGCACAAATAATATTCATGAACACAAAAAAATAAAATTCAACCCAGCACACTCATTACCCTCATCTTGCTGTTGACTGCCTTGATAAATAGCATTATATGCTCCATCAATTTCATAGAGTAGGATTTTTCAACATTTGATTCATTACCACTACCACCCCCATTCCTGCAGGCCTCCTGCGAGATAACCCTCATCTGTTGCAGCTGCTTCAGTTTAGGTCTTTAGGATCTACTTTCCAAGTAGGCGGGTGGTGTGAGCGAGGCTGGGAGCAGAGCGGAGAGGTGGGTGCTGTGCGGGAGGTGGTAGGAGGAGTCACTGTAATGGGCAGCATAGCTAGTGGAGCAGCTGATGAGGGTGTTGAGGTGACTCCAGCGTAATTAATGCACCCGCTGTCACTCTCTGAACGCTTCAGCTCCCGGATGATCTGGTCATGTTCATCCAGCAGTCTCTCCAGCTCTGTCAGTCTTGCAGCTGCTTCAGTCTGTTGGAAGATAAACACTTGTTACTTCAAGCCTGTCACTAGTATCTACAGCAGCTGGAAAATGTTCAGCATTGCAGTAGAAGAATACTAATAGGCATCCCAATTGGTAAATTTTATTGACTTGTTTTCTTAATAAATGCCATGCACTGCATACATCTTTAAGCCCTTCAAATATCTATAAGTGGTATTAAAAATTTGCATACAGCTACTGACAGATGGTCCCTTCTCGATGCTACTGAAGGAACTGGAGCTACTTTTCCCTTCTGGGAATCAAGCCAGATTAGTTTTTCAGTCCCCGGACATTGTGTGATCCCTATGGGTTTAAGTGCCTTCTCATGAATAAACATGTAATAACACCCTGGCAACAAGTTACTTATAAAGAAGAAGGAAGTGTTTTTACAGAAGAAAGCTTTTGAGGTAGAAACTGGAGCAGCTTATGCACCTTACCCAGGAAAATTCACTGGCTGTTTTAACACTGAACAAATTTAGGAATGTAACTGTTGAACAGAACTAAGTGGCTCTGTCCCACCCTCCCTCCTCAGGAGAGTTGACACACTGATCACTTGATTTGGAGCAAATGGTAGTAGTAGGCGTGACATTAACAGAGCGCTCTGACAGTGTAGATCATAGCTCAAAAAAATAAAAAAACACTATCAGAGCAATGAACACTCAACACAACACTACTATACCAATTTAAACAGCCAGCATCAATGTCAAAAGGCTAAAAGTTCCCCGAGGTTTCTTCTGGCTCGAGGCAGTTTGTGAATCATAACATTTGTAATGATTTTTGCAAGATATTTTGCATGTCAAATAATCTGTGACGAGATACTTTGATGCTGGTCATGGGCTTTGACCCAAAAACTGGAGGGAATTCAAAATTAAAAAACTCCCTTTTCCCCTCAAGGGTGATTCCTTGACGATAGTGGGGGGCCTTTTGATTGGGGAATTGTACTGTGCCATTCCCCAAATTTGGGCCCTTGAATACCTTCCATCCATCCCCCCCCCCCCACATGTGCTGTATAACCTGGGTTTTTTGGCTCCCCCAGATTATTATTACATCCCTTTTTTCCCAGGCACTGAATGGCCATACAGGTTTAGACTCCTGAATATAAAAAATATATTTTTAAGACCCATTTGATTATACGCTATTTTGGGTCCTTACATTACGAATGGCAAATTACACTGGGTACATACAGAAGAAGTTAAAATTAAAGTCATAACTTTCTTATAATAACCAAACTCTCTTTGTAGGTAGGATTTCTGACATTAATGTTTCTTAATAAATTGTTATTATTAATTATTATTACAAGAGTTCTGACATTGTCATTCTCTGTGTGTACTTTGGTGCTACAAAACAGTACATCGTACATATAGACTATAGTATATAGTAGTATATAGATAATAGTAAAGATTATCATTCTTTGTTATTAACCTTCCTGGAAAGACGCAGACTTTGGGAAGATTTTATTTAAATGTACACATGGGAAAAGAATAAATAGGGTATAAAAATGCTGAAAATATTTAACAGCACTTGAAGCAAGATATGAAGGTGGATAAATTTTCAATTTATGAAGGATATAGGAAAGTATTAACTTAGCAACAGTTATAAATGAACGGAATTTACAGGATGTATTCCTGTATCCAGCATGGTGGACAACGTTCTACTTGCAATCAAAGACCCTGAGTTTGACCCCCGGACAAGCCGAGGCAGATGGGAAAATCTCATAATGCCCTCTGCCGATGTTCTCTGGGTAAACTGTTTCTGTACCTAGAAGTTAGCGGGCTGTTATGGGTCTCTTCCTGAGGAAAAGAACCAGAGATCCCAATGGAAATAAACCACAATACTTGACTAGGTTATCTTGGATTAATAATCCTACAGGGTTAATCCAGTCTTTCTTCAGCTTTAAAAATAGGCAAGATAAATACCGAAGTGGGAACCAGAGTGAGAAGAACTTTCCTAACTCATGCCAGTGTAATCCTATGCAATGAATGAAGCAAGAGTGGCTCTTGCTCCAAGGAAATGAACATATCCCTTTGATCAAGCATGATTACCTTGCATTCCCCCAAGTGCTATTCGACCCTTACGGATTCAGCTCCTGTTCCTCTGAATATAGTAAAAAAGTAGCTGTGGGATCCGAGAAAGATATTCCTTCATTCCTTAAGCCCAGCCGCTTCTACCTCAATGCACGCAAAAATAGAGCAGGGCGGTCAAAGAAACAATTATAATGAAGCAAGATATAAAAATGTGTATGCATACACATTTGTATGTGTGTACATATGTATGCATGTGAGGAATGCACTTATGTATATATGCAGGTGTATATATGCTTGAAAGTAAAATCGCTTTTGAGAGGCCGCTAACAAATCGGCTGTTTCCAATGATCTTGTGAGCAGTATTCATAACTACTTAGAGCGCCACTGCAACCGTCTTGGTACTCTAAAAAACCCAACAAACATCCGTAATATCATACCTCCTCTGTTTCAAAAACCATACTTATTCCAATGATTCTAAACTCGTACACTGAAACGTACTGCTCGCACAGACCTAGGCCTAGCCTATAGAAAACATCGTAACCCCTGGATGCTGAGGCTCTTCCCTCCAAACAGCCCTTGCTGCTGCCAGAGGCGTATGACAGAGCTGCGGCAGAACCGACCTGGGAAAAATTTGTCAACGGACTTAATGCTCACAACCCCACTTAGCCGGGCATGTAGGACATAAATAGAATTAATGGTAAACGAACTGGCATATCGCGCACACGCCACATCCCTTCATAGGGCGAATGAGTTAGTCAGTGCTTGGGCTGCTACATCAAGCTATGACAATCTTTCCTCAGTACCACACAGGCAAAATTAAATGATAAATATGATGGCAAGGGAGAGACTTGTTTGCTTTATGCTCAGTTGGGGTTAAGGCAGAATGATGCAACATTCCTTTCACTAATTATAACTTGATTGCGCGCAAACTAAAGGGGCAACTCCACGACGCCTGGGTGAGGATGGGTATTACTATACAACATACTCAGATTTGCTGTGTCGAGTACCAGTAATCCATTACTGAAATTATATAACATGAGCTATGAAACTGGGAGCTCCCTCAATCCTGACCAACAAGCCTCATCATTCCAATTCCTAAGCCAATCCACAAATGCATTTCGCCCAATATCACTTACTAGCTGCTTGAGAAAACATTAGAGAGAATGATTCTTAATCGTCTCATGTACAGAATCAAACAATTTTTGTCTCCCCGTTTACAGGTTTCATGGCATGGAAGGAGCCGTGCATCATTGCATAGCCACCTTTCTCACGCCTGCACACTGACAGTTCCTACACTACCTTCCTTGACCTTAAATCCGCTTTCGATGTAAGCCACCGACATGTTAATAATAGTGAAAGCTTGCCAGAAAGGATGTTGGAGATGGCAATCTCCGCAGGATTAAAGGCTACCTGTCCCAACAGAAAATCGTCTGTGTTGTTCCAGGGACATAGAAGTGTAATAAAGACTTTGAAATTAAGGAACCCCACAGGGAGGTGTGTCAAGATCCCACACTGTCAATATTCAAATTAATGCATTTACTTAATGCTAATGCCTAGTCAGCAGCCCAAAATTATGATGATTAGTTTTGCTGGATGATATAATGATTCTCACCACCGGATTCTCCAAACACCCAAAACAGTCTTAATCAATGTACAGCCTCGTGCTCAGGACCTGGGTTGAATAATCTCTACTGAATAAAACCAAAGATAACTCAATAGGCGTCCGTCCTCGACAGAGAGGCACAGTTCGTCAGTCCAATTGCATGATGGGTCTCTCTTCTAGAATATGAAGCAGATACAGGATATCTAGGCTTGAGGTTCCACTACATGGACCTGTTGTAACAAGACTTGTCGCCAATACAAAGAACGACTAAGAGCACTTTAGATTTGTGGCAGGGCTTCACCCTCAGGTATGATGCTCATGTTAAAATTGTGTGAAAATGATGTTCATGCTTATATTAGATATTGGTTGATTAGCTGCGCCACTACTTGCTTCTTGTGTCTACTTGAATCTCCGCTTGGAGGGCTGGAAAAACTGCAGAACGAAGCAATGATGATCATCCTGAGGATGCCCTCGTACTTGCCAAAATTTTAAATACAAAAAGAACTTGATATTCCAAGGCAACAGAGATCGAGTTACTGAAAGAATATCCTAATTGGTGTTAATATGCTCATGCAAGCTTCATTCAAACCCCCTGCACAGAAGCCCTCCAAACATTCCTCAGCACTGGTGAACACATCCTCCAGATGGATCGAAAAGACTGAACCGACCTCCGCATGAATCAGATACATGATCATGTCAATAAGTCAACATGCGGGCACGTCTCCGCCCATGGAATATTACCACCATTCCAAAACTACATTCCACCATTTCCCCCCCAAACTACTTCTTAAATCACACCAAAACTTCGCCTTGAAGCCAAACATGAGGCCTAAGCTGTATTGATACCTTAGTCACACAGCAACACCAACTCTCGCAAATATTTACGTTGATGGTTCTGTCACGCAATCCAACTGGTGCATCTGGTAGTGCTGATGTTGTCCCGTACAGAGTGATGGCTCTCTAAAGAATTGGAGCACGCATCAATAAACGGGCCTCTACCCTTCAGACAGAACTGTTTGCCATACTCCTGCACTGGAAATGCATCTAAGTATCAAAGATTTGACATTTAAATTGTAACTGATTCTCTGTCATCCATAAATGCTCTCAACTCATTAAGCATAAATTGGTGGCATGCTTTGTGTCAGAACCAGACACAGGTATGGTAGGATTGTGGACAAGTGGGAGTCAGAGTGTGCACAAGCTGTGGATCCTCTCACATTGGTCTTCAGATCATGATAGAACTGATAAATTGGCTAGCGTATGCTTCAAATATGGTAGTAGATTTACAATCTTGGCTTGTCGCAGGTAGTAGTTTGAGAACAATAATACGAAAAGAACATCAGCTAATTTATGGACTTAAGGC